CGGACACGCAGCGCCCGTCCCGCGGGCCCCGAGCCCTCCGCGCCTCGGCCGTCTGCCCGCCTCTCCCGGGCTCCCCGGCGTCCCACCCCTGCTCGCCGGCGTCGCGCGGCTTGAGTGCTGTCTGCTCTCTCCGGGGTGCCCCAAGGCCGGAACGTGTCTGCTGGCCGCCTCGCCTTCGCGGACGAGCCCGTGCACGCAGCAGCTGATCAATACTCTGGTGGAGTCGGTGCCGTCCTGTTTGCGCCTGTGCCTGCGCTCACTGGCGCGACCCTGCAGGTCAGCATTTGGATGTTTATTGTAAAGAAAGCTTTTAGAGGGGCGGGGATTTAGCTCAGCGGCACAGCGCGAGGTCCTGAGTTCGATTCCCGGTACCAAAAAAAAAAGAAAGAAAGAAAGAAAGAAAGAAAGAAAGCTTTTAGAGTCTTTTAAAAACAGATTAATTCAAGAGCTACATTACAAAATAAAACTTGCCACCGGGCGTGATGGCGCACGCCTGTAATCCCAGCACGCGGGAGGCTGAGGCAGGACGATCGCTGTGAGTTCAAAGGCCAGCCTGGGCTAGGTAGAGAGCTCAAGGCCAGCCTGAACTGCATAGTGAGACCCTGTCTCAAAATTAAGCGGGGAAGCCGGGTGTGGTGGTACATGCCTGTCATCCCAGCACTCGGGAGGCTGAGGCAGGAGAGTTGTTGTGAGTTCGAGACCAGCCTGGGCTTCAAAGTGAGCTCAAGGCCGGCCTGAACTGCATAGCAAGACCCTGTCTCAAAAAGGCCAATAAACAATTAAATAAATAAATAAATAAGCTGGGGATATAAGTCAGCACCTGCCTGGCAAGTGTGAGGTCGTGAGTTCGATTCCTGATACAAAAAATAAATAAATAAATAAAAAATAAATAAATAAACAAAATAAAACTCGCCAACTGGTGTACCCATAGACTGAGTGGAATTTCCTGGGGTGATTCAGTGAGTTTCTCAAGGAGCTGTGGCCTGGATCAATGTATTTCCATATCTGGCTTTGAAGAAAATGGAGATTTCTCTTAAGCAGAAGACTATTCCTCAGAGCACAGGTAGCACAACTCACTTTGCTTGCTCTGTGGTTTTTAGTCTTGAGTGTTTCTTATTCACAAAACACCTTTTCATAAAAGGTATTCAGTTTTGAGGCAGAAAAACTTGAGACCCGCATAATCACAGATAATTAGAAAAGCTCCTGGTCACCACTGCGTATGCATTTTCTCAAAAATTTAACTTCACCCACTTTTCCTGAAGCTAGAGGGGGAAAGTTGTTAGGAAACCCTGGGGCTAGAATTCAGCCTTGTCTTTCTTTTTAAAAAGGCGGGGAGGGGGTTGGAGTGTCATTGTAGGGCACCGTCCTTTGTTCTGGGGGAAGAAAAGTTTTAACTCCACAGCGGAAAAACTAACACTGTCACTAGGATATGGGGAAACCATGGAGAAGAACTAGGCCGCGAGGCCCGCGGGACGGGGCGCGTCTGCTCCGCGGCTTTCTCGGGGCCTTGTATGCTCCATTCAGCGCTCGCTGGACGATTGTTGGCCTGATGTAGACAAATTGACGCAAATTAGTTTAGCACAGCTATGCAAAGTGTAAGCTTGTTGAGCAACACACGTGGGCCACATAGCAACCGCTCCCAAACTGTGCAGCCGGCCCAGAGCTGCTCTCCCAGGCGGAAGCAGGGCTCGCAGGTCCAGAGCGGAAGCGGCCGGAGGTGCCGTCCGGCGCCCCACAGGGAGCCTGAAGGCCGCAATGGCTGGGAAGAATGCCCCCTCAAAGTGCCACTTGCTCGGCCGCAAACCCGCCTGTTATTTCACAGCCACAAATCCGCAAAGGGCTGGCCCCGAAGATTAAGGGGATTCCGCCACTTTGCTCTTTCCTATGGGTTCAGATACCTCCAGACGATTCCGCCAGGGCTGGTGTCACAGAGACCACCTAGCGGGGCCTTCTAATTGTATTTACAGTAAGTTAATTACAGCGGGCCAGTTCAGAGGGCAGGATGTGCCGAGCGAGGGTGTTGCAGGCAGATTCTAATCTGTTAGATCAACAGCGGAGGGAAGGTGGGGAGCCGGCAGAGGTGGGAACCGCTTCCAAGCCCTTCCTCCCCCTCCTCCTCCTCCTCCTCCTCCTCCTCCTCCTC